TGCAATGGCAAACTACTGAACGTAAAATTTGCCGAGAAAAACCACAACAGCAAAAAAAATGTTAGGGTAAGTTCTGTAAAGAATATGCAACTAAGATTATGTCTTTACTGTCAAAATATAATGAGCATGTTTAAATGTGTGCGTCTATGACGGAACTTAATATGAACAGTCACTGAAGAAGAGTGACAAATTAGACTGTGTAAGAAATGAAAAGAGAAAAAAAAAAGATAAGTCCATATCTTACCAGGATGTCAGATAACAAAGAAAAAAAACGCCTAGTCTACTACGCATGTCATAAACGATGACTAAGAAGAGCTGGCATATCTTTAGAAAAACCTATGTGGTTAAATTCAAATAACCTTAGTCAAATCTTTACATGGAGGTGCTATGCATGAGACAACTAGGACAGATATTAGAATACACAGCACGCAAGAAGAACATAACCAACACACTAGACAACTAGGACAGATATTAAAATACACAGCACACAAGAAGAACATAACCAACACACTAGACAACTAGGACAGATATTAAAATACACAGCACGCAAGAAGAACATAACCAACACACTAGACAACTAGGACAGATATTAAAATACACAGCACGCAAGAAGAACATAACCAACACACTAGACAACTAGGACAGATATTAAAATACACAGCACGCAAGAAGAACATAACCAACACACTAGACAACTAGGACAGATATTAAAATACACAGCACACAAGAAGAACATAACCAACACACTAGACAACTAGGACAGATATTAAAATACACAGCAGACAAGAAGAACATAACCAACACACTAGACAACTAGGACAGATATTAAAATACACAGCAGACAAGAAGAACATAAACGACACACCAGACAACTAGGACAGATCTTGGAATATACAGCAGACAAAAAGAACAAAAAAGACACACCAGACAACTAGGACAGAAATTAAAATACACAGCACGCAAGAAGAACTTAAATTACACAATAGACATCTAGAACAGATATTAGAATATACAGCAGACAAGAAGAACGTAAAAAAAGAAACAAATAATTCAATCACATGGATAAATTGAAGAAAATTTGATTACTAAGACACTGTCAATACAGTGTTTTTTCAGCCATCCCTGTGGGAAGATGTGTTAATGCGAAAATAGGATAGAAGCAAACTTCCACTGCAGCCACACTGTGAAACTCTCATACTTCACAGACAACTAACAGGACAGAATACTTCACTAGCTGTGAATGGGTTGCAAGATTGGGTTTGAACTGTTACCTCTGAGACAAGGGCATTCTGTTGCCTCAACCCTGAACAGGCCTTGCCCCCCCCCAGCGAGACTACTGAAACAGCTTCTTCTTCATAAAGTCCATTCCGTGGAGCGTTAGTAGTCATGTCTATCCACAACCTTCTGTCTCGTGTAATTACAGTCAACTCTGACACAGATGTTCCTCCATCCAGTGTTGCGTTGGTAGTCATGTCTATCCACAACCTTCTGTTTCATGTACTTTCAGTCAACTCTGATATAGATAATCCTTCACGCCATGACGTCAAACAGCATCTTTTTTTCTCGGTCCCCTCTGCCTCTGCTACCCTTCAACTTTCCTACTGTCATGATGCACTCCAGTTTTCTCCTTCTCATCACACGACCAAAGAATGTAGATTGTCTCTTTCTGATGTGGGTAATCAGTTCTCTTCGTCAGTATATTTCAAGACATCTTCATTAATCTTTTTATCCGTCCAGGGTATGCTCATCAATGGTCTACAAAACCATATCTCCGCAGCTTCAAAATAAGTTTTCACTCATTTACTAACTGTCCATGATTCATTTCCATATATCACAATAGGATTTATACAGCTTATAAGAATTCTCTTTCTCACCTCAACAGACAAAAAATGATTGCATAAAATATGCTTTATTTTGTAAAATGCTACCTTTGCTTGAGCTATTCTACATTTAATTTTCTTTAATACATCTTCCATCTGATGTTGTCATGGTACCCAATTACTTAAACATATTAATTTGCCTGAGGTTTGTCTCATTTACTTTGATGTTGCATTTTAGAGGGTCAGTTTTCTTTGTAATTACCATTACTTGTTTTTCTGCTGTTCAAACTAAGACTCATGTTTTCACTTTCCATTACAATTATATCCATTATTTCTTGCAGTTGTGTTTCCTTATCAGCGATCTCTTCTACTGATGCAGAAACAGTACAATCTTCAAGCCTAACTCAAACCAGTCTGGATTGCAATTAGTTAACGGAACCTGACAATCAGCTAACAGAACCTGGCAATCAGCTAACGGAACCTGGCATGCAATCAGCTAACGGAACCTGGCAATCAGCTAACAGAACCTGACATGCAATCAGCTAACAGAACCTGGCATGCAATCAGCTAACAGAACCTGGCATGCAATCAGCTAAAAAAACCTGGCATGCAATCAGCTAACAAAACCTGGCATGCAATAAGCTAACAGAACCTGGCATGCAATCAGCTAATGGAACCTGGCATGCAATCAGCTAACTGAACCTGACATGCAATCAGCTAACTGAACCTGACATGCAATCAGCTAACAGAACCTGGCATGCAATCAGCTAACAGAACCTGGCATGCAATCAGCTAACAGAACCTGGCATGCAATCAGCTAACAGAACCTGGCATGCAATGAGCTAACAGAACCTGGCATGCAATCAGCTAACAAAACCTGGCATGCAATCAGCTAACAGAACCTGGCAATCAGCTAACGGAACCTGGCAATCAGCTAACGGAACCTGGCAATCAGCTAACGGAACCTGGCAATCAGCTAACGGAACCTGGCAATCAGCTAACGGAACCTGGCAATCAGCTAACAAAACCTGGCATGCAATCAGCTGACGGAACCTGGCATGCAATCAGCTGACGGAACCTGGCATGCAATCAGCTAACAGAACCTGGCAATCAGCTAACGGAACCTGGCAATCAGCTAACGGAACCTGGCAATCAGCTAACAAAACCTGGCATGCAATCAGCTAATGGAACCTGGCATGCAATCAGCTAATGGAACCTGGCATGCAATCAGCTAACAAAACCTGGCATGCAATCAGCTAACAAAACCTGGCATGCAATCAGCTAACAAAACCTGGCATGCAATCAGCTAACAGAACCTGGCATGCAATCAGCTAACAGAACCTGGCATGCAATCAGCTAATGGAACCTGGCATGCAATCAGCTAACAAAACCTGGCATGCAATCAGCTAATGGAACCTGGCATGCAATCAGCTAATGGAACCTGGCATGCAATCAGCTAATGGAACCTGGCATGCAATCAGCTAATGGAACCTGGCATGCAATCAGCTAACAGAACCTGGCATGCAATCAGCTAACGGAACCTGGCATGCAATCAGCTAATGGAACCTGGCATGCAATCAGCTAACAGAACCTGGCATCAGTGGATGGCATACTAGGATCTTACTAGGTCATGAATCAACATGCTTTGACCAGAATTACTAAATTAGCCACAGGTTGGCTTCGTTTCCTTGAGAGATTGCAAATATTTCCCTGTCAACAGACTCCAACCCTATCTGCCATGGGAATACAACAGAATCTAGAGATGATAACTGTTTGCTTGTTGTTAACGGAAGAAGTAAAGAAATCAGACCTACTTTGTTGCTTTCTAGTTTAAGCTCTGCAATCACAGCTGGTTCCTTTTCTTGTTGTTCATCCCATCTCAGGAACTTCTGAGATTTTGTCGGGTGTTTCTGGAAAAGTCTAATAGTTTAGGGGTGTGAAAGGAATACTGACTAAACATTAACCACACCCCCCCCCCCCCCCAACATCAAACTGAAAATCTTTCCAAAATAAATCTTGGCGTCATTGAGATGGGGGTGAACAAATAGAAAAGTACCAACAGTAGGTGTGCTTTCTTATTTGCAGAGTTACAAAATGAGACATGTTACTGTTAACATGAGAGGCGGTGCTGCTGATGTAATTATATTTTGACAGAGATTGTCATTTGTTTCCCAGACATGTTGTTACTGGTGTTCATAGCCTAAAAACTATCAGAAAGATTTCAATAACATGTGATGAGGTTTTTTTACGAACAAATTTGTCCACTTAAGTCCTGATCTGAGAAGGAAAGCTCACCGGTGAGTGGTGAGCTCTTGAGTCCCAGGGGATTAAGCATCAGGATAGGATAGTCAACAGAAATATAAAATCATTGCATCTTGTGTTTAGTAGGCTTCTAGGTAGGAACTGACTTATGAACGAATGATGTGTTTCTTGGGACTGAGTTGTTGCAAAATTCACTGCCTTCTCAAGTATTGATAAATATTTTAGACAAAACAGATGGCGCTTTACTAGACACATTCTAAGAATCTTAGTAAGATGAAACCAGCAGAGAATCACCAAACAGGCGCTGTTAAATGGGAAATATCGGGAACAGAGGTTTGTTGCGGAGGTCAGGAACGCCAAAAGAAACCCTAAATTACTAAATTACTGAATGAACACTGATGACAGATTATAGAGGACAAATGTGCTGGACTGGATTCTAACCACGACACTGAACTGATTGCAGAGAACACGAACAGAACAGAATGTAGGAAAAGACAGAGAACCCTATGTGACATAACGTCATAAGAGCATAATATACGGCTCAATATACAGTATTTAGTATTTATAATAGCTTTACTTTATGTACGCGTCAGTGTGTCGACTTTTGCTTCAGTTGGATTCTTTTGTAGTTGTATTCCAGCTGTCTACTGAATGTAGGGCAAACAGCGGCACTGTTATCTACACATAATTTACACGGGCATTATTAAGATGAAAAGCAGCCGAGAAATACAAGTATATGATTCAATAAATGATTCATCTCTTAATCTTCTCAGGGTTGTTCACACAAAAAATAAAATACTTCAACACGTGAAACTTTGGTTTGGCCATGAACGACAAATCCAGATGGGGGAAATTTCCAACTGACACAACAGACTAGACTCCAGACATAACTGTCACAACACAAACATGAATACTCACTTTACTGAGACGTTCAGTGTTGAATATTCTTGAATCGCTTGGGGTAAAACTGAGTTCCCGGTCCCGTTGTGAGACCAGGCCTCCGCTATCTCCATTCTGCATGGTTTCCGACATTTTGTTTGTTGTTGGTCACGTGATACACACACTGGCTGGGGTTCTGCCAGGGATGGCGGCGGCCGGCACCAGGTGAGCGAACTCTTGGCGGCAATTTGAACTTTCTTGAAGCCTACTGTTTGTGCTCTGTGACAAGAATATGCGACAATGACAAAATTGTGTCGTTCATAACACTTCTTTAAATGGGGACGGAGTGCTTATGACAGTGCATCGAATGCTTAAAACACAGTTCAACTTATAGGGAAAGGTCTGCTCCACTGATGCCCCTTTAAAATCAAATGTATTTAAGTTCGCTTTCCAAGTTTTTGTCTATACGTTTCAAATTATATTTTTATGACACATTTGTGTGTATTCAGGGCGGGGTTGATACTTGATGAGGCCCTAAGCTTTATAAATCCATAACGTCCCTAAATTTTTAAATGACACCACCTAATCTGAGAAAGGTTTGAAATGAATACGTAGAATTTATATAACAAAATCCTCTTTAAAATTTCTACTATTAAAACAATTTTAGGAACAAAAAAATAAGGATTTGCTGGGGCCCCTGTAGACTGCGACGTCCTAAGATGCAGCTTATTTGATTTATTCCTAAAGTCGGAGTCTGTGGGCTTTGATGTTGAGAACGCATTACGTAATGCCGGGTTCTATCCTAGCTGCGGACGATTTGTTTTGCGTTGATTTCAACAGTTTGCCGCAATGGCAAACTACTCAACGTAAAATTTGCCGAGAAAAAACACGACAGCTCCCCCCCCCCCCCTCCCCAAATGCTATTATTGGTTCTGCAACGCCCTGTAAAGGACATGAAAGTAACTTTTAACTTTATATATCCCATATTTCTTTGCTATTCAGCACACTGTATAATAATAATTATTTTTAGTATTATATATTATTATTAAAAGCGCCTAAGCCTCTTGTTCCCCCCCCCCCCATTTTTTTAAATGTACGAGGTGGTTCAGCGCACCGCGACCCCCTCCATTCCCCAGCATCCCGAGAGTCTTCTGTGTATCGTCACCCCTTATGCTTGCGGATATGATTTTCTTCATTTACTAAAAATCCCCGCAAAAGGTAAAAAAAAAAAAAAAAACTCCCAATGTGGGATGCAATTTTTCGTTATTTTGAAGCCGCACTAGGGCTGTTTCCGAGGGGTCCTGATTATTACCCAGTCTATGGGTTGAACAGGGTTTCGCGGAAATCTCCATGGGTGATCATCATCCGAGTGGTGGCACTTTGTGTCACCTGGTGTTTGTCGTTCTATGTTATGTCCTAGTGGGGTTAAAAAAAATCCAGTCAAATCCAGAAATTCCCACCTGTGGTCATATTCACCTACGTCACCTTTACTTCCAGAACTTTCAACCGTTAGCAGGGCTATTTAACCGGTATGTCGCAGACCGTGGACAAGTACAGGTGCGTAGACACACTGATGGGCCCCCGAAAGTTGAGGTGAAAATTTCTGCATAGTCATACTATGGGATATAGTGGGTTGTCTTTCTCTTCCAGGATTGTACTCTGTAGCACATCGGCGGTGAGGTCACATACTGGCTCGCCGGTAAACGACTTCGTCGCAGGTGGGCACAGTAATCACATCTGTCACCTGTAATCGCATCAGAGCTACTTGATGGCGAGCATGCTAAGTCATTTAATATGGCACACATAACCTGTTCACAATTATAACCTAACGCTTCCCTCTTTGTGGATGCTGGTTGAGCGTAACGATTTTTTTTTCTCCACAAAGCTACCAACTACTCTCTCTCTCCTCTCTCTCTCTCTCTCTCTCTCTCTCTCTCTCTCTCTCTCTCTCTCTCTCTCTCTCTCTCTATCTTGTAGTACCCCACCAGGACATCACACAAGCGATAAACACCTGGTTACACAAAGTGCCACCATGCCGATGAGGATCACCTGTGGAGAGGTCCCAGAAACCCCTTTTAGCCGTAAGGCCATATTTAAGGCCCGGATATATTCAGGGTTTCCGGCAAAGGCAAGGGTGGGGCTTCGAAGACAATTGATCTCACTTCCTCTTTTACCGCTGTGGGTGTCGAGGGAGATATAAGGTTCTGTCTCTAGCTCTTCTGGCCGCCTCGACCATGGGCACATCGTGCTGTTGTAGAGTTTCTCTGATGTTATCCTTCCATATTGTTCTTGGTCTACCTCGTGCTCTACGTCCTTCTTCTCTTTCCATGTATGCTTTGTATGGTATGGTGTCACAAGGCATTCTCTCTAAGTGGGCACCATTTCACCTGCTGTCTTCGTATGTAATTTAGAATTGGTTCTGTGCAGACTTTTCTCTTATGATCTCATTTCTGATCTTATCTCTTATGGTCACTCCTACATGCCTTCTCAGACATCTTATCTCCATGGTTACTAATTTTCTATTATGGTTTGTTGTGAGTGACCATGTCTGGCACTGGTAGCACAGAGTTGGAATAAATATGCTTTGAATAAGATGTCTCTTTGTGCTGATTGGGATTGTCTTATGCTGTAAGAGGGCAGCTAGCTGTCCCAATACTTGGTTTGCTTTACTGCATCTAATGTTAATTTCTTTATCCAATTTCCCATCTTCGGTAAATGTAGTTCCCAGATATTTAAACTCAGATGCCTTTGCACTCTATTGCTATGTTTAGATCTTTCTTCTTTTTTTCCTATTGACATTACTTCTGTCTTTTCAGTGTGGATTCTCATATTATTTGTTTTACATTCTTCATTCATGGATGTTAGATGTTGTTGCAATTTCATGGCTGTATCTGCTATCAAGGCCCGGTCATCTGCAAAGAGTAATTCGTTGATCTTACTAACATTTTCATTCATGGGCTTGGCATTCTTGCGTATACTGTCGATGTAAGTGATAAACAGCAGTGGTGATAAGACACACCCCTGTCTTACTCCAGATGTTACTGTGCATGGATGAGATGTTCAATGATTTATTCTAACTACACTTCTACAATCCCTGTACAAACTTTTGCACACTTCGATGAGCTGTTCGCTTGAATCAAAAGTTTTGGTCTAAAGTGGCACTTTTGTGACATCAGATTTAACAAATAAACTGTTATAGACATTTGTCTTTGTTTTATCTTTGGTTAGCTGTTCGTTTTTTTATTTGATTTGATTCAAGAACCGACATCACAGCACTCGGGCCATTCCCATAAGCGCTCCGTCCCCATCTTCAGCAGCCAGCGAAGAGTTCCGAAACTAATGGTGCCAGTAGCTTTCTAATTAAACGCCCGTCTTGCCTTTTCTCTGAGCCTTGAGCTTCTGCCAGAACCTCTCGTCACCCCCAACTGCATCAATCTCACCAGACTGTGGTGATCCATCTGCTCCTCCGCATTGTACACGCTCTCCCACAAGGCACTAACCATGTCTGCCCTATCATGTAGCAGTATTCCACCAAGATGGGCAGAGCCAGCCAGTCTGTCCACCTGTTCATTTCCCAACACACCAGCATGACCCGGTGAAAAAAATCCAGACAATACTCCTCACTCGTGTCCTCCGCAGCGAAGCATGCCACTCTGCACGAACCATACCTGTTCTGATCTTCCCCAGCATGCTTTCTGAATCAGTTGCAATTACAATGTGTGTGTGTGTGTGTGTGTGTGTGTCGTGTTCTCTAGCCAGCGGAAAGCTGCAGTGACCGCCTCCACCTCCATTCTTAAGCTGGATGTTGTGGTATTAGATGCTGGGCTCTCCTGCACTAAACGTCGACCATTAACTTTTGCTAAAAAGCCCCAAGCACTTCTTTTGCCTCTTGACACTGAACCGTCTGTGTAAATGATCAAATCCTCTGAGCGAGCATTATCTTGAATTAATTGCTGAATTTCCACCTCTGTGGCACCTGCTGGCCAGTCTCTGCATTCCCGGCTCAGCGTGATTATACTGTTTGTTATATGGAGCGGAAACATGGGGAAAAAAAACGAAGGCAGTGACTAATAAACTGCATTCATGAGGGAATTAAATGGTATGATAAAATCACTAATGTAGAGCTTTGGGAGAGAACTAAACAAGTTCTGGTGAACCAACGGTGAAGAAAAGACGCCTGCGTTGGATAGGACACGCGTTAAGAACATCTTAGCAATATAGCTGGAATGTGTTTGCACTGGAACCCACGGTGAGTATATAAATAAAGGGCGACAAACAAAAAGCACATGGAGAAGTAAGCTAGAAAGGGAAGTTAGAAAGCTAGAAGGGACATAACGACTTGACGAAGGTTGATTGAGGGCATATGCTCTACTGGGGGTCAGAAAGGCTAAAGAAGAAGTGGGTCGAGGATGTAAAACAGTTGTGAAACACTGCTTTACATGACGTTAAGAACAAACTTCAGCTTTTATTTTACTCTGCAAATTTACTTTCAATAGCTTGCTATTGCTTACTGAATGATCGGCTCTCGATATCACTGTCGAAAACAACGCAAGGAGGTCTGCTGTCAAATCTCTGCTGAGCTAGAATCGAATCAGGTATCTCGGAATTAATAATCGCGCTAGCAACCCGAAACCACATAAGCCGACCTTTCAAACATATCTAGTGGGCCGTGGAACAGCTGACATGGACCGCCCAAAAAATGTCTGCCCAATCATGTGCCGGGGTAGAGAACGTAGTTTTTCCTCATCCAGGAGGTGTGTAGAACTAATTTAAGAATCGACATCAAAGCACTTGGAGCATTCCCATAACCGCTTTGTCCCCATTTTCAGCAGCCAGCGCAGAGTTCCAATACCAATGGTGCCAGTAGCACTCTGATTATACGTGCCCCTTGCCTTTCCTCTGAGCATCGAGTATCGACCAGAACCTCTCGTCACTTGCCGCTGCACCACTCCCATCAGACTGTGGTGATCCATTGGCTACTCCGAGTTGTACACGCTCTCCAACAAAGGTCCTAACCACGTCTGCCTTATCGTGCATCAATATTCCACCAAGTTGTGCAGAGCCAGCTGGTCTGTTTATCCGCCTGTTCTCTTGCAGAACTGTGGTCTGTTGAATTAACATTTCTAATGTTCTTCTGTTTCTCTCTTTTACCT